GAAACCCTTCACTTTCTTGCATAGCCAAAAGGAGGTAACAACCAATCTAAAAACAGTAAACAACCAGAAGTGTCAGAAAATCAAACTGCATTGAACTCTGACAACCAGAGAATTAAAAGAAACAGCCAGACCACCCAGACTGGTAGGAAGGGGAGATGGGCAGACAGGCCTATGTAGAGAATCCTTGCGGGCAGGGCTGGCTGAATGGGAAACAGACTTACAACTGACTGGACTATGGTGGGGGTTGCCATGGTGGAAGAAACTCCCAGTCTCACATGAGAGTTTGTTGGAGAGTGGGGTTAGAGCCCAGCAAGTGAGCTGCATTGTTCCCTCTCTGACTCCTTCCCAACAGACAGTGCCACACCACAGCAAAGAGAGTTGCCCTGCCCTGGAGACTACCTAAGGCCCTGTCCCCCTACAACTTAACAGGTGTACCGAGACAAAGAACTATGGCTCAGATGAAAGAGCAGAGCAAAACTCCAGAAAAAGAGCTAAGTGATGAGGAGATAGCCAACCTATCTGATGCAGAATTCAAAACACTGGTAATCAGGATGCTCAAAGAATTAATTGAAGGTGGTTAAAAATTATAGGAAGAAATGAAGGCTATGAAAAGTGAAATAAAGGAAGATGTACAGGGAACCAACAGTGACAAGAAGGACTCAAATCAATGATTTGGAACAAAAGGAAGAAATAAACATCCAGCCAGAACAGAATGAAGAAACAAGAATTCCAAATCATGAAGGCTGAGGAATCTCTGGGACAACCTGAAACATATCAATATCTGAATTATAGGGGTGCCAGAAGGAGAAGAACAACAGCAAGAAATTGAAAACTTATTTGAACAAATAATAAAGGAAAACTTCTGCAATCTGGTGAAGGAAATAGACTTCCAGGAAATCCAGGACGCCTAGAGAGTCCCAAAGAAGTTCGACCCAAAGAGGAACACACCAAGGCACATCATCATAAAATTACCAAAGATTAAAGAGAAGGAATCTTAAAAGCATCAAGAGGAAAGCAGAGAGTTACTTTCAAAGGAATACCTGTAAGACTGTCAGTCTCAAAAGCAACCTTTCAGGCAAGAAGGGGCTGGAAAGAAGTATGAAAGGCACGAAGGGCAAGAACTTACATCCAAGATTACTTTATCCAGCAAAGCTATCATTTAGAATGGAAGGGCAAATAAAGTGTTTCCAAGATAAGGTCAAGTTAAAGGAGTTCATCATCATCAAGTCCTTATTGTATTTTCATAATAAAGGGACTTACCTAAGAAAAAGAAGATCAAAACTATGAACAGTAAAATGGCAGCAAAATTCCAACTATCAACAACTGAACCTCAAAAATAAAAACTAAGCAAACAATTCAAACAGGAACAGAACCAGAGAAATAGAGATCACATGTAGGGTTTTCATCAGGGAGGAGGAGCAAAAGGATGAGGGGTAAGGTCCAGGGAATAAGAAGCGTAAAATAGACGGGTAGAGGTTAAGAATGGTATAGGAAACAATAGTCACAGAACTTACATATGTACAACCCATGGATATGAACTAAGAGGAGGGGAAATGCTGGAGAGTTGGTGGGTGCCAGCCAGAGGGGGGATAAAGGGGAGAAAAAAATTGGGAAAACTGTAATAGCATAATCGATAAAAAAGGTACACTTGAAACCTATATGATCCTATTAAGCAATGTCATCCCAATAAATTTAATAAAATAAAATAAATAGAACTAACAAGCAAAAAAAATATTGTATAGAAAACCAAGTTCTCTAGACTGCAATTGGGTTAAAATGATGAATGCACAAATAGTGTTGGAATGGCTAAAAAATCGGATTTACCTTTTGAATTGTGGTGAGAACAAGTTGATTGATAGCATTTTAATAATAAATTAACAGGGAAATTTTTTTTATGTTATTATGTGAAAACCTTAGTGTAAATTGTAGCTGTCAGGTGAATGGATGGGGCCAGATCACTGCTACTGTATTTGTGTTGCAAAGCATGTTTACTGATAAATGAGGGGGGAAAGTATATGACTAGTAAATTAAACGAAGTTTATAGGCTTTACTGGGAGATTTTACAGCCTTTATAATATTTTAATGTGCATTTTGTGAATGGTGAGGAAAGGAGAAAGTTTGTAGGCAGATATAACAGACCCCTAGAACTCTTTTTTACCCCCCTTAAGTATGTCTTGGGATTGGCATTTCGTGGAACAAACTTTAGGAAACTGGACCAGGTTATTCTTAAAATAACTTTCTTACATAAAATTCTATAATCCTGTGAAGAGCTCAGGGAATGTACATAGTTAATTCTTCCATTTATTGTTCCAGAAACTTTGGTTTTTATAATCTTAAATTGGCCCTTTGTGTTGGGTAAAGAGGGTAGCTGAGCTTAAACTATAAGAGGGAACCTACGAAAGAGAAGAAAGACCATTCACAATAAGTTAATTTCATTATTTCATTGGCAATCAAAGAACAGCATGTATGACTGTTACAACATATTAAAAAATTACAAAGCCAAATATTGTTTTTTATTGAAGTTAAATGTCATTTTGTTACTTACCCTACAATTTCAAGCTCTGACATATAGTACACAGTGTCTGCTTTTCAATCTGGTTTTTATTGTGACCTATAATGCAAATATGTTAACTAATTTCTGACTTTAGGCATTTTTTGTTACAATTTTCTACTTTGTTACTTGCACTATATAGTGTAATAGCTAGAAATATCTAATAAATGATTATGTACATTACTTTCCTGTTCTCTCAGCAAAAAATCATTTTCTAGGACTCTAAAAAGAGAATTACAAGATTGATGGCAGAATGTGAAGGACAAAGACAGAGGGAATAAAAAGATGTAAAGTGAACAAGTTTTTCAGCTAAAACCTATAGGAAGAATAAAGCAAATTAACAAAGCTAGGGAATAGGAAGGGTGAATTCAGAATAGGTGCTGAGCTAGGCTCTAGCAACAGATGTTAGACAGGGCAGAGGTTGAGCAATCACCTGGGAAAGTATGTGTGGGGGTGAAACAAAAACAAGTTTTTCTCTGGGAATCAACTCTGTGTTGCTTCTCTTCATAGATTCCTACATATTTTTTTCTTTGTGTCTGTGTTAGAAACCTTGATCTGGTTCCTGTTTTGGGGAAAATTAATATGGTCTTTAAAAACATAAGTACAAATAGGTTTTGTCTTTACTATTTCTAAGGGATATCCTCCCAATTCTTCCAGTCACTGTTTACTTTCAAATATAGAATATAAGTGTGTATTCCCTTCTGTTCACTGTGGCAAATCAGAATCTAAATAAAATTCAAATATAATAAATGTAGTGGCTGTTTTATTAAAACATGATTTTAAAAAATGTCCTGTGAGTTGGGTTATTTTCCTGTAATTAAGCTCTGATCCTTAGGCAGTTGATGAGTCCCCTGAGACTTGGTTTCTGTATCTGAGAAATAAAGCCAGTGCCACGTGTCTCATGTCATTGTTGAGATTAAATGAGCTAATAAGGTATATACACTGCTCAATAAATGGAAACTAGTATTAGTGTTGTTTTTATAATTATAGTGAGTTTTGATAATTCAATATGTCAGTTTTCTTAAGAAGAGAAAATCTTGTAGCAGTTGAAATGTTTGTGTTAAATAATCTGTGCTAGTTCTTGGGGGAAAATAGTTACTTAACTGAGCTGTTGTGAGGTAACAATTATAATTTCTTTAAGTAAAAATGTATAAATGGTAATCATTAATAGTCAATTTAATGTTACTTGCTTTTCATTATAGGAGTGGACGCTTCTCTTGTGAGCCAGCTGGGGGTCTCACCTCTTTGACTGAACCACCGAAAGGACCTGGCTTTGGTGTGCAAGCAGGCCTTTAATTTATATTTGATTGTAAATATGTCACTTGAAAATAAAATATGAATCTTCTGTACATAAATTTTTAATATTTATTCATTTCAGCCTTTGTACACCTTGGTGGTATCCCAGCAACTCGTACCTCTATAAGTACTGTGTAAAAACATCAGAGCTCCATTTTAAAATCTTCAGCTATCTATGGCTAACTATGAAGACATTATTCCATAATCTAGGTAATAGTAACTCCAATGCCCCTGTTTTCAACTGCCAGGTCATTTTTATCAATAATACTAAGTTATTGTGCCATAAAAATTCAAATTTCAAATACATTTTGCTTTTTCATCTTTAGCCATAGCCAAGTCTTAAGTTAACATGATCTTTCTATAAACCTTATATATGTCAGTGTACCCTTTAAATATTTTTATATTTATAGCACACAATTGTTACTGTATATCCACCTTACTGTATTAGGTGTAAGGAGTCAAGATAGTTGTGTCTAGATCATTTGAGCCTTTAAAAAATTTTTTGCCCATTTTTTTGAAAATCCTATCATATTTAACATTAAAACACTGCTTTTAATGATGGTGCCCTGAATACCTTTTAAAAACACCTGGCAGGTAAAATGTCATTATAAGAATCCAAGATGGTTCCAAATGTATGTGAACAACACACTGATTGAATTTTCCTTGAAATTTCCAACAGCAGATGACAACTACTTCCTGGCCTGTGTGTTTATCACCACTAACTCCCTCATTTCTTCTCAGTTCTTAACTAGGCTGTTTTTTAAAAAGGTATATTTGAAGGGAAATTTACTTATTGCCATTTAATGGCAAAAATAAACCAACAAACCAACTTTTCATCTTTCCTATTGGCAAAGAATCTAATGTCTGTTTGGTGGTGGTTTTGTTTTTGAGCTGATACTGAAAGTTACTAGGGGAAAAGCTACTGAATCCTCAGAATTGCTTGCTTTGTAATGAAGGGGCCATTGCTCCAGATAATTCTTAAGAGCACTTGATAATAGTGTTAAGAGTATTCACTGCAAAGACCTTATATCTGTATAGACTTAGTCACATAATAAATGTGAGATTGTTTTGAGATTATATTTTTCATTTATTACATTCACCTTCCTGAAATAATGGCAGTTATTTTAACATGATCTGATTTAACTGGACTTTAGTAAAACATGAGTTGTTGATTCTAAAGGTGTGAATATCTAAGATGGAGAGTAAATTTTGCCTAATGGGTTCTAGCTCAGATATCAAATACACACATTTTAAGTGTCTTCTAGTAATAACCCTAAATAAATGTGGTGAAATTTAACTTAGGCTAAGAATGATAATTAATGCTTGGGATCCTTGACCTCCTGGTAGTGCTAGGAAGACAGACATTTTATCCACTTGCTGAGGATGGATTCTGAGACTTGAACTAGTGGAAGACCAGGCTATACAATTAAAAGCCGTGTCAGCAGCTTCCTAATCAACTTGCTTGTGGATATAAACTAGCTTTCTTCAGGCTTTTGAGACCTCTATCCATAATATCTCTAATAAGAATTTACTGATTTATGTATCTGGTTTCACATTGCAAAGAAAATTTGCTTTGATGTTTCTTTTGGACCTTTCAAATAACAAATAATTGCTGATTTATAACTTGCCACATATAATCTTAATGTGAGCTTCATGAAATTTTTTTGCAATTTGATTTCTACAAATAACACTTATAGGTAGTTTCCTGTTGAGTGTAGTCAATACAATACCTTGGATCATGGTTGCCTATGAGTCTTTCATGTATTAAAGTTGAACATATAGCTATTGCCATAAACCATAATTCATTCAACAAATTCAAGATTAGCTACCTTTCAATTTTGGAGTTAGGTACTTAGTACTATACAAATAGTATTGCCATTGCCATCCATACTAGTCAACTTCTATTGACAGTTACTTAAATGAGAAACTCAATGATTTAAGCAGAGTAAAATTTTTAGTAATTGTTTTTTTCTTTGTATGTTGTGCCATAAGTATCCAAATCAAATTTAATAGTTTTTCACCTGTGGCTACAAGTTGCTCTCAGCATTATTTTGGACCTATGTTTTAGAGTAGGAAAATAGGGAACTAGGAAACGAAAAAAATACTGTTATTTAATGCAGGTTTATGTTTTAATATAGTAACTTGTTGGGATTTAGCTTTCTCTGTCAAGTTTGAGATGTTACATCACCTGTGGTAACAAATTTGTAACTGTACTCATTAAGTCACAAGTGGGTGCTGCTGCGTAGAGGCCATTATAATGATGAGGAAAGTGGTTTCATTCCAATTATAATCCCTTTGGTGGTTAAAATAAGACATGCACAAATTTTCGAGAATTAAACCTCGATGTAAATAAAGTGTCCAGAAGGAAGTTAGGATAAAATGGTTTCCCTCCAATTATGTAACTCCTTTGATATTAAATGAAAACATGTACAAATTGTAACATAATAACCTCAATGTAAATAACAAGTATTCAAAAGGAAGTCAGGAGCCGCTGCTGGGAGATGGAAAATTTCTTTACGCACTCTTTGGTACTTGCTAAATTCTCTCTGAAAAACCAACTTGGATGTAGAAAAATGCACTTAAATTTATATTAAAATGTCATCGGAAGATGTGAATGAGAGCGTATTACGGAGTCTGTGGTGTCCTTGCCCCAAGAACACGTTCCAGTTCTTTCGGGACGCCTTTGCACACCCACCTAGCGCAGGTGAAAGTGCGCCAGAAGCCCGCCAGCTGAGCCACCAACAGGCGTCGGGGCCTGACGTATAGGACTTCCGTACAGGTGATGCGGCGCAGGCGCATTTTGGTTCCGGTAAGGGCGGTGTGTGGATCCCGTCTCTACAGACCCACCGAAGCCAAAGCCAGCCGTAGGTAGTAGCCACGAGTTTAGCGGTAGACACCCCTCGTATGCCTCAAACCGAAGTCGCAGCATCGAGCCTATAAACTCCCCCATCTGTCCCTGTAAAAATAACGTGAATAGCCCATACATAGTCTATTTTTCTTCGACGCCGCCATTTCCAGAAGTTTGAAGTCCTATCCATTGACCTGGTCGCCACAAAAAGCTACTGCAGATGCAGCTGGCCGAGCAGCGTCAGCGACGCCTGCGCTGCTTCCTTGCTCCGATTCCTCCGTCCGTCTGGGGCTGGTGACACCGGAGGTGAAGCAGCGACAACTGGGTGGGGTTAGGGAGAAGGACGAGCACTCAGGAGACAGTTCCGGACTGCACCTCCCCCACCTCCGCCTCCCACTTGGTACCTTCCGAATTCCCCGCCCCCTGGCTGGGGTCGAGCTGAAAGAGAGGCGGGGTAGCGGGGAGGGGCCGGCGGAAGGGGCGGGGCGGTCACGCCGCGTGTCCCGTGTCCCCGGAGTCAGGTGGCCACGCCGCAGCCAATCCCTGGGTGACGCTACCCTGCGAGCGAGGAGGCTGTGGTGAGAGACAGACCGAGACCGGAGATGTTTTTAAGCCCGGCGTCGGCGGTGTTAGTGGCGATTGCAGCGGCAACGAAGACTACGACTGCGACGGCAATACCTAAGCACGCGTTCAGGGGCTAAAGCTTCCCGCGTCGACCGTGCCTCCGGTCCGTGCGGGTGAGGGGGGCGTGGCGACAAAGCCAGAAGGAAGAAGGGGCGCGGTTTCGAGCCCAGGCTCAGGCGCCCGGGAGGAGACCCCTCTGTTCCGCGCTGCTGCCGGCCCTCCCTCCCCAGGACAAGGTAAGGGACACGACCTGCCCACCTCGTTCGTCTCTGCGCCTCCTAGCCTGACCCGTGAAGTCGCTGTGCTTACGGTGACAAGCCGTTAGTGGCCCCGGCGCGGATCCGACCGGCCCGCCCCCTCCCCTCTAGGAGGGGCGAGGGGCCGCAGCGCAGCTGGCAGCTGCCCTTGGGTTAGGGGTGCCACGCGGGGCGGGGCCTCAGTTGGGCTTCACATGCCACCAGTCCTCGCTCACGGTACTGGGCTGCCGCCGCCGCCTCGGAACATGGCGGGGCCGGGAGGAGCGTGTGCGTGCGATGCGCGGCCCGAGAGGGCGCCGACGGCTTGCCGGGGCTGGACCCAGCGGGGCGGGTCGGGGCGGGTCAGGGCGGGGGTGGGTACGCGCCCGGTACGCGCCCAGCCCGCTGCGCGCGTTCTCAAGCCTGCCAGCGGGAGGCCGCCGCTGCACCTCTTGGAGGGAGCATCGGAGGTACCGGGGGTCGGGGAAGAGGTGGATGAAAGAGAGAAGGAAAATGTCACTCTAATAGTCTCAGGGGAAAGGAGAGCGGCCACGCTGCAGGCTTGTCTTAAACGCCTGTATAATGTGCTTGCCGCATTGGGCAGTTGGTTCTGTTCATCATTCTTTGAGTGCTTATTCAAATGATTTTTTATGATTTTTTTAGATCTTTAGAGTACCTCAGGTCCTTGAATCTTATTTTGAGGTGTAATATGAAGTGACGTATCCTGGAGGATCTCAAAGCGTTGAATAAACGGTTGTACAAAGAGGTTACCGAAGCCCAGCTGACAGCTGTTTTAATGATAACAGTAAGGAACAGATTAAGATGGGAAGTTAACACTAGTACAGCAGTTGAAATCATAAGAAACATTTTAAGCAGTGTAGTCATCGACGTTGTCATTTCCACTGGACACCCGCGGGTGAAATGGGTTGCAGATCCAGTGATCTGTAACGCTTTGGAATTACTATCGATAATCCCGAAGTTGGAGTGAAACTGTGTTCTCAATCATGTATGTAATTTTTTATTTTAAAAACGGTGTATGTGAATTATAAAGGAAGACGAACTAACAAAGTAGCTATTTTTAAAGAAATTAACTTTATTAAAAACATATGCTGAAGTAGGCTGTTACAAACCTTGGGCTTTGATCTGTTTTAGTTTCTTCAATCATATGAACTGGCAGAACATATGATCTATTGGTGCCAAGCTGCTTAAAAACAAAAATGAGATAGTGTCTACTGTGTAAGATCAAGTCACTGTGTTAACTAATTATGTTGGTGGGGAACGTCTTTACTTTGGGCTAAACGCAAAAACGTTTAAAGATTTGAAATGTTTCCCCAGGAGATTATAGACAAGAGGAGAAAGCCTTTACTACTTAAAAATCTTTTATAGTTCACACAAGCACTAACTACATTTCTGAAGATCTGCATATGGTTTGACTAAGGTCAAGCTTAACTATTCAGGGTATGTGTTGTATTTTAGGGACAGGTAGGGTGTTTAAATGAGGTAAAAACTAAGTTAAGAGGTACTCATGGAAGGAAAAGTAAAAAAAATAAAAATAAAAAAGGCATGATGCCCTTAATATTCTTAATCTCTATGGTTTCCATAGTTGTTGCTAGAATGGTTTTATGAACAGGTAGAGCTGGGATAGTGTAAATCTCTGGGTGTGTATTTCATGAAGAATATTTGGAGAAGAATAGAGAGACCATATTCAGATAAAGAAAGAATTTAGGGGACTACATGTTGTGCAGTCTGCTTTTAGTTCTTTAAGATTAGAAAGGGCTCAAAAGGTTTTTTTTTGGGGGGGGGGCAGGGGATAAGTACCTAACCAGTGGAATGAATTCAAAAGGAAAGCATTTTTTATTAAGATACTTTCATATTACTTTTTTCCTGTAGAAGTGGTTGAAAATGTGACTGATTATTCGGAGGTAGATTGGAGAAATGGTAGTAAGGATATTTAGAAAACATTTCATTGGAAAAGAGGCTTTTATTCTAAAGAGTAAGAATAATAGTAAAAAAATATTAAAATTTTTGGGATAAATGGACAGCAGTTAAATTTTCTTTAAACCTTTCTTATGTTTTAAGAGCATCATTTCACTCTAAAAAGGGAATGATTAATGGGGTTAATTATTTCTGTCTTAGTCTGTAAGAGGCTTAGACTGCTTTCTGTATATAAACTTGATAATACTGAAGAAACATCTAGAACAGGCATGAAAAACTTGTCCAGTAATTGTAGTAGTTGCTTAAGAGCTGTTGACACTCCTTTCTGACATGGAACTTGTTTCGAAAACTAACATCAACGTTTATTTGTAAAATGCCTTAGAGTACAGCCTTCAAGATTTATCTTTAGCACTAGCAGGGACATCAAATTATCTAATCCATTACCCTCATTTTACAGATTTGAAAATAAAGGCCTAGTAAGGTGAAATGACTTATTGATGTCAGCACAACTAGTTAAAATACTCTGTGGTTTGGGGCTAGAGATTTCTTGCTATGAAGATGTTAGTTTTCCTCTTTCTTTAAGTAGTAGTGGAAAGAACATTAAAATGCAAGTGGAAGCTTTGGGTTTAAATTCTTGACTTGTCACTTCCTAACTGTGGTTTTAACAAATCACTTTAACTTTCAGAACCTTGCCTTTTTAATCTTAAAAAAAAAAAATTATCCGACATAATTTACAGGGACATTGGAAGGAACAAATGGATTATACATGGACAGCTCATTATATACTGTAAACTTTTATGCTTATAAAAAGTGGCGATATTATATTATTTTTAATCCTCATCCAAGAATATGTTTATTGATTTTAGAGAGAGAAAGTGGTTGCGGGGAGTGGTAGAGAGAAGCATCAACCTGAGAGAGAAACATCGGATAGTTGCCTCCCATAACTCCCTGACCCACAACCTTTTGGTGTATAGATGCTCCAACAAACTGAGCCACCCAGCCAGGGAAAGTGTAATGTTGTTTTTAAAATGAAAACAGTGCTTTCTTTGTAAAAAGATGTCAAGATCCCTTGGTTTTTGCTTATGCTTAGCCTTAGCTTTGTTTTCAGCACCTGCTGTTTTACAGATTATAACTCCCTGTAGATAAATTTTCTGATCCCCACTTAGTTCTAATCTTAGTAAAGACTCTTATGGAACATTTTAAAAACTGCAGTTGTTAGAGCCTGACTTCCTCTGGAGAGACTATGAAGTTTCTTCATATAGCATTTGAAAACATTCTCCTATACACTCATGCATGCATAATCCGTTTAGCAGTGGTTTTTAAAAAAGTAATAGTGAAAGTGTCTTAGTTGCAGTGTTATTTTGTCTGTTTCTAGTTTTCAGATACAGCATAACAGGAGATAATTTTCCTTTATAAATTTAGCTTTGAATAGTTCATGTTAAGGTTATCTTGTAGACCTAAAATATATAGAAATAATAAGACAGTTTTTGTTTATTGGCTTATATTATCCCTTCGTGGCCTTTTGGCTAAGATCAAGTGTATTGGCTTATACTGTTAATTTTAAAGACCTTTTCTTCTAGTGTTTTAAATCAGTTTAGTATTACACAGATTATTTGTAAACTTGAAGCTGAAGTTTATGATAAACATGTTGAGCATTTAGAATATCTGTAACATATCTGTGTTCAAAGTTTAAGTGAAATATTTCAGATAATTTTTATAACTTTGTAAAACAAACTATTATGCTAACCTATGGCTAAGGAAAATGAGGCTTTGAACATATTTATGAAATGTGTAGATACTCACAGACCCCAAAAAGTGACAGATTCTGTTCCCTATTCTTAATCACTTCTCTATGTTCTGCTTCTAAAAGTTAGCTGATTTTGAAAAGTTTAAGGCAGCGTTCCTTAAATTTCAGAGTTCATGGAGATCAGCTACTCTACCTTATACTTTCTTGGTCAAGAAATCAAAGAGAAAAGAAAAACAAACACCTTATTAGAATTGTGGAAGATAGACCAGCAAACCTATAAAATTACAGTATGGTTGTTGTTGGGTCGTTTTCTTTATGTGAGTTGTCAGAAGCAAATTATTGTCAACATCTACTGAAGGACTACAGTTAACATTAAAAGAGGCGGTTCTAACAAACTTCACTTTGTTGATATTGTTGTTTTAAAGAAACATACTTTAATCACAGTGACTAAAGAGAAAGATAACTTATCAAACTCATTTAGGACTTTTATAAAGTAATAGATACAACAATAATAAACTTGAGTTTGTCCAGATTAGAAGATAGCATCTAAGACTACTTTTTTGATTAGTGAACCCTTCCAAAATTTTAAGAAATTCAGACTTATGTTTTTGGAAAATTAAATTTAAACACAGAAATGCTTCCAGATTGTCATAAGTGAAAGAGATAAATTATGAAGCCACAAGTTATGAGGTAGAAATCATCTACCTTTTTTGGAATTTAAAAATTATGTCATCTTTGGCCAGTCTCTTTAACATTTGTTCATTACACTAAAATTATTTCAAAATATGTAGTTACTTTTCTGGTTATCAGTTTGTATTTGGGTCATAATTGGGGGGAATATCACAGGTATTATTGATAAATACTACCATATTGTTTGAAAGAGTCGTGAGAGCTTTGTAGCTTCTCAGATTTCAGTTTGTTCTTCCTCCTACATAAGAATTTTTTGATATTTTAACTTCTCATAGAAAACAAAAACTGTGCATGTGTGGCTTTTCTAGAATTAGCTATATCAACTCAGGATGTTAGCTCTTGCTGATGTGACTCAGTAGATTGAGTGCTGGCCTGGGATCCTAAAGGGTCATAGGTTCAATTCCCAGTCAGCGCACATGCCTTGGTTGCAGGCCAGATCCCCAGTTGGGGAGTGTGTGAGATGTATCTTTCACACATCTTGTTTCTCTCCTTCTCTTTTTCCCTTCCTTCTCCTCTCTCTAAAAATAAATTAATAAAATCTTTTGAAGATATTTAAAATAAAAACCAAGAATAAGATAGTAGTATATTAAAAATTATAGTGCTTTGTAGTTCATGAAGTACTTTGTATATCTGATTTCCTTTGAATTTCTCAGCTATTCTGAGATTAGCAAATCTGATGTTAATTGAACCATGGATAAGATACAAATTAAAATTCTCTGGAGTAATGCTAGACTTTTGAAATTCATTCTTGAAAGAAGCATTAGCTAAACCTAAAAGAAGAGGAAAGAAACACATGTACTTTTATTCTTTCTTCCACCAGAGGCACATTTGTATTCCATCTTCTTTTTATTCTATTTTGCTTCTGAAACATAAGCAGGTTAGAAGTAAACACTAAAATCTGATACTACTAATTAGTGGTGAAGATTAATTATGTTAAAGACAAAAGAGAAAATTAAA